GGATTGAAAAGCTTGGCTGCGCACAAATATGAGGTCATTTCTAATTTCGATGAACTACGTCTTTGTCTGCGAGAAGTGGAATTTGACCTTAACAGAAACAAGCCCACGGCAGAGAAAAAAAAAAAAAAAAGTCAGCTACAGCTAAAATGGCTTTCACTTCAGATAGTGCTGAGGCAGCTTCAAAGCAAGAAGTTCTTGACTTGAAGGAAATGGTGAAGGAAATAAGAGCAGAGATTGCAGAGCTCAGGTGCCAACATCAGGGTCAAGTTTACCAGCACCAGGTTTCAACTCCGCCATCCCAAGTACACCCCAGTTTCTCAAACCCCAGAGTCAATCATCCCCACAGACCTGAGAGAAAAGTATCAAGTGGAGGCAAAGGAAAATCTCCAGCATACACTGGTTCACAATCCAAGCCATTTCTTTCTACACATCCAGGTTTTGATGTCACCAATGAACAGCCATATGGAACTGACCTACAAGCATCAGGGATGCATCCTTATTCAACACAAGGAACAACTGGATATGTCTCTCCACCAGAGAGAGGGACACTGTGGAACAACACTAATGAAGAGTTGCCTAGATGTTTTAGGTGTGGTTACCCAGGTCATATTGCTCGGGGATGCAGAGTGAGACTTGATCACCTACGTCATCCTTTAAACTGGCCCAGGCCTATGGGAAGGGGCTGCCCTTAGGTTGTTCATCACGCCCTACAGTACCAGATGGATTAGTTGGCAACAGTAATGAAGTTGAGATTGTAATTGAAGGAGTGCCCGTACAAGCATTAGTGGACACAGGAGCTACTGTGTCAATTGTCTCTGAGACCTTTTTACAAATCTCATCTGCAGCACATTGCGCTTGAACCCATTGGAGATATTTTGGACATCGAATGTGCTGGTGGTCAGTCACTTCCATATCAGGGATATATACAAGTTAATATTATCCTTACAGGTGGAGGTATCAGCCCTCAAAATCCTGTCTCCAGTCTACTCTTGATTGTTCCTGAAACAAGGTATAATGCACGTGTCCCTGCCTTGCTGGGTACCAATGTTTTGCAATGTCTTTTGGATGAATGTAGGCAACTCCATGGACCAAAATTCCTACAGAGGGCAGATTTACATACACCTTGGTACTTGGCCTACAGAAGCATTGCACTCAGAGAGAAAGAGTTAGTACGCAATGGATGGCGTCTTGGTTTAGTCAGGAGCACTGAGACTCAGAATATGATCATTCCTCCAAATAGTAATGTTATCATAAAGGGTCGGATCACGAAGGGATTGACATCGCCAGGAATTTGTGCACTTCTTCAGCCTACCCACAGGTCATCGCTACCGGCAGATATTGATGTTGCTCCAACACTCATCACTTACAATAGTTCAAGGCCAGAGATTGTAAATGTACACATCTCAAATGTGACCACGCAGACCTTATGTATACCTCCAAAGGCTCTTCTCTGTGAACTTCAACCAGTAACCATACATGATTCACCCAAATGCCTACCTGTTGAAGCAGATGTGTTATTGGATCAGATAGATATTGATAAGGAAGGATTATCAGAGGAGGAGATTAAACATGGACTGGATATGATCATGAGATTTCAGGATATATTTTCAAAGAATGAGGAGGATATTGGACAATCTTCAATGGTTCATCATCGAATAGAACTCACGGATAATAGACCATTCAAACAGCGGCATCGGCGCATACCTCCTGCTATGTATGAGGAAGTTCGCAGTCACCTACAACAGCTCTTATCTGCTGGGGTTATTAGGAAATCGCACAGCCCTTGGGCTTCCAACATTGTACTGGTTCGCAAACGGACGGTCGACTAAGGATGTGTGTTGATTATCGCCAGCTGAATAAGCGTACCATCAAGGACTCATACGCTTTGCCGAGGATTGAAGAGCTATTGGATTGTCTTGGTGGTATGAAGTACTTTTCAGTACTAGATATGAAGAGCGGGTACCACCAAGTTGAAATCGAGGAAGACCACAAGTCTCGTACAGCATTTACCATTGGACCGCTCGGGTTCTTTGAATACAACAGAATGCCATTTGGATTATCAAACGCACCGGCTACCTATCAGCGACTCATGGAAGAATGCCTAGAGGGTCTCCATCTCAAAATATGCCTCATCTACCTCGATGACCTTATCATATTTTCCAGGACCTATGAGGAACACCTTGAGAGGCTACAACTTGTTTTTCGTCGTCTCAAAGAATGTGGCTTAAAGCTTGCCCCAAAGAAATGTAAATTTTTTAAGCGAAAGGTTCGATATGTAGGGTATATCGTATCTGAAGCTGGGATTGAAGCTGATCCGGACAAGATTGACAAGATAAGACATTGGCCAACACCTTCTAATCCAGAGGAAGTCAGAAGATTTCTTGGATTTGGAGGTTACTATCGCAAATTCATCAAGGACTTTTCAAAGATTTCAAGGCCTCTCTCTGAGCTTATGCCCAAATCTGCTTCGAAGAAATCTAGACAACCATCCAAGGATCAAGACTGGATCTGGGGCCCAAAACAGGAAGAAGCATTCAGTGAGTTAAAGCACCGCCTGTGTTCCCCTCCTGTACTAGGCTATGCAGACTATTCACAACCCTTTGAACTCCATACTGATGCAAGTACACATGGGTTGGGTGCAGTGTTGTATCAGCTCCAGAATGGCAATCTGCGTGTCATTGCCTATGCAAGTAGAGCATTAGGACGTTCTGAGAGGAACTATTCAGCACATAAACTTGAGTTTTTGTGTTTGAAATGGTCCATCTCAGAAAAGTTCCATGACTATTTGTATGGGCATGATTTTGTTGTGTTCACTGATAACAACCCTTTAACCTATGTACTTACCAGTGCTCGACTCGATGCAACTGGGCATAGGTGGTTGGCTGCACTAGCAAACTACAACTTCAGTATCAAGTACCGTCCAGGAAAGGCTAATATTGATGCGGACGCATTATCTCGCTTACCAGATCATCAGGATTATGTTGAAGATGAGCAAATATCTCAGGAATCTGTGAGAGCCATTTGTGATACCATCCATGTCTCAAGTTTGGTTGAAAGTCTGTGCTTCTCTATGAATACAATTGAAGAGGATACGGAGCTTGAGGATGATCAGTGCGAGCTGAATGCAAGGGAATGGAGGAGAGCTCAAGCCAAAGATTCATCTCTTCGGATAATCCTAGAACACTTGAGAAATGGCACATCTCCAAATAGGATGCAGTACATCAATGATCCTGAAGTGAAATCATTATTGAAATGCTTTATCCAATTCCAAATGAAGAGGGGAGTTCTCTATAGAATTACCACTGTAGATGGAGAAGACCGAGAACAGTTGGTTCTACCGATGAAATGTCGCACTGCAGCACTGCGCAGTTTACATGACAACGTTGGACATCCAGGTAGAGATAGAACTTTAGCACTTTTGAGGGATAGATTCTACTGGCCTGCGATGTCAAATGATGTTGAAGCACACTTGCAAAATTGTGAACGCTGTCTTCGAAGGAAAACACCAACAAGCCGAGCTCCAATGGTAAACATCCAGACATCAGCACCTTTGGAACTTGTATGTATGGATTTCTTGACGTTGGAACCATCAAAAGGTGGATTGGAGCATGTTCTAGTTGTAACTGATCACTTTACCAGATATGCCCAAGCATATCCAGCAAGAAACATGTCAGCCAAAACAACTGCTGAAACTTTCTTCACAAATTTTGTCATTCACTATGGACTACCAAGGAGGATACATTCAGATCAAGGAGCTAATTTCACTGGTAAAGTGATGCAGGAACTGTGCCAACTGTTGAAAATTGAGAAGTCCCAAACCACGCCGTACCATCCCATGGGCAATGGTATGTGCGAGCGCTTCAATCGAACACTCTGTAACATGCTAGGCACTCTGGATCCCGACCAGAAAAGGAATTGGAAAGCCCATATAGGTCCCTTGGTACATGCCTACAATTGTGTAAGACATGAGACAACATCAGCATCTCCATTCTTTTGATGTTCGGAAGACTCCCTAGATTACCTGTCGATTTGGCTTTTGGATTGGACATAGAGCCAGGAAAATCCAGATCTATTTCTGAATACACCAAGTCCCTCAGGGAACGTTTGAAGCAAGCATATGAATTGGCATCTGCATCAGCAAAGAAGGCTCAGTCCAAACAGAAATCAAATTACGATCAAAGAGCTCGTGCTGCAACACTCGAGGTCGGAGATAGAGTCCTTGTAAAAATTGTAGCCTTTGCGGGACGACACAAGCTGGCTAACAAATGGGAAGATGACGTGTATATTGTTGTGAATCAACCTAATCCATCTATTCCTGTTTTCACAGTTGTGCAAGAAAATTGCGAGGGAAGGAAGAAGACACTTCATCGAAATCTTCTGTTGCCTGTTGGCTACATTCCTAACTTGGAACCACCTGTTCCAACACCAAGACGAGTAACCCCAACGCCCAGACAAGTGATCCCAACACCCCGGGAAAAGATCATCAACATCCCTGAAAGCCACATCAGAGATATCGCACAAGGATGATGAAAGTTCTTCAGATGGACAAGACTCGGACATTTACTCCTATTCATATCATGCTCCAGTGTTCACTGATTCATCAGTGGATGGGCCAGCTGAAGTACAGACAGCGAGGGTAGGAAATGATGAAGCTAGTGCTGTCCATGATGAGAGGGAGGAAGTAACGTCTGAAGATACTGGTCAGCCGGATCAGACATCAGCTGCAGGTGGCGATTTCAGAAATGAAGTATCTGATGAAGAGAATAATCAGCCAGCAGAAAGGGAAATGCCAACTCCAGTTCCACGACGCTCAGGCCGAACCCGAGTTCAACCGAGATGGATGCGGAGTGGGGAGTATGTTCTCTCTGCGGTAGCTACACCAGACTGGTTGGTGAGAGCGGATTATCTCAATTCTCTTGCCTCTGGGGCAATGTTTGCTCACCAGCCAGAGAAGCTAACTGAGGCTATTCTGGGTGTTGTCACTGGTAAATTATAATGATGGGGACATCATTTGTTGGGGAGGGGAAGTGTGTGGCAGGTATGAAGTCATGTAAGGTTTGGTTCGTTTGAAGTTGTCATTGTTTATAGTTTTAACGCAAGCAGTATCATTTTTAAGCGTTAGTCTATGGTTATTTTTAGATCTTGCCTAGTCCATTACGGGTATAAGGGGTGTCAAGAGATTGTGTCATCGCTTGTGTTGTGCCCTTTGACTTGCTTGGCCCCTTGTGTTGATTGGTTCTTTTAAAACACTAAACATTACTTGCACGTCAGCCATTGCACTTCACTTCAATCCGATCGCAGTTCAGAGCATAAAACAACTAACACGTCCGATCTAAAGGTAGGAACAATATTTCAAGTATTTTATATATGTTGTACTAAATAACAATGTTATTAGTGCTAATTAAATGTTCTTCATGATAATAAAATAGGTTAAAGTATATTTGTGCAATTGTAAATATTATGCCAAGGTAAGTAGACAATCTTGCAGTGATATAGTAAATAACGATCATGCTTAAAACTATGATACTTTGTTTATTTGAATGATGTTTATGCATAGGTTATTTATTGTGCATTATAACCATAGCGCACTTGTTTGCATTGTACTTACGATGCAGAATGATTGAATGTGTGATTGATTTTGGGTATGACCTAATGTGGCTTACACATAGTTACGTCAGTACCGAACCATAGCTATTGATTGTTGTGATTTGTATACATACATATTTAGAATATTGAGACTTTGGTTTGCTTGTTCTTGTAGCAGCAGTATATTCCTCTTGGAGGCGTGGCTCTTCTACACCCCAGTGTCACGCACAGGGTATGAACGTTATCATTGTGTCATATGTATAAAGTTATTATGTTATTCACATAGTTGATGGATTTTATGTATTATGTACAAACACGTTCACCATAATGTGTACGTTGGTACGACGTATTTGAAACGTTATTCTAATACCAAGGAGTTACCGTTCTTGGTGGTTCAGTCAACGTGTTAATGGCTATGTACCTATTACCACAACAACATTATATAATGTGCACCTGTTGACATTAATTGATATTACACTCATTTCTAATGTTAGAAATGATATAAGAGATTCAATGATTGTATATATTTATCTATATTTACATGTTTGCCCTTAACTTGGCACTTATTTTGTAAACATGTGTTTCAGGGTGTCTGTCAATAAAGAATAGATCTCACAACCCGTAATCAGTGTCTGGTCCTCAGTATTCCCATTCACGTCCCCGGTTACATATATACTGTATATAACAATGAAACAACATAATAGACAAGGGAAACAACATAATTGCCATGATTGGCTAAGCAGTAAGCTGATGAAGCCAGTAAGTACATAAAGGATAGTGAGAGGAAGCCAGAGATGTAGTTACAATGAGATGTTTATACAATGGATGCGATGTTTATACAATAGACTGGGCTTGGTGGAGGAGTGGATCATAAGCAGATGGAATGAAGTATCCTTGGTCACGGTTGATGGTAGGCTTGTGCCGTTTGATGTGAATGGCTTCTGTGAGCTTGCGTTTAGTGAAGTCCGTTTGGTTGTTGGCGAGAATGGTAATGTCGGACCACTCTATTTGATGATTGGGGTTGGCTTTGATGTGGTCAGAGATAGCTGATTTGGTGTCGGAATTAGCAACAGAGGTGCGATGTTCTTTGACTCGGGTGTTGATGGGTCGGGATGTTTCACCTATGTAGCATTGTCCACAATCACAGTCTATTTTGTAAATAACACATTTCGGGTTGTTGTTGTTGACGGTGGGTTGTTTTCTTCCGTTGGCATGGAGGAGGTTGTTGAGGCTGGAGGACGCTGAGAAGGTAGTGTCTATTCCTGCCTGTTGTTTCAGGAGTCGGCTGATTTGGTGTGATGGTTTACCAATGTAGGGAATGGATATCTTGATGGGGGCTGATTCTAGTTTAGACCTTTTGGCAGGAGGTGAAAGCGTTGCTTCGATGGTTCTGTTGACTATTTCAGGTGGGTAGTGGTTGCGTTCCACAAAGACTTTCCTCAGGTGTTCAATTTCTTCCTGTAGGTTTGTTGAGCAGATGTTTTTGGCTCTTCTGGTCAATGTAGAGATGACAACATGAAATAGTCAACAGAACCATCGGAAGCAACGCTTTCACCTCCTGCCAAAAGGTCTAAACTAGAATCAGCCCCCATCAAGATATCCATTCCCTACATTGGTAAACCATCACACCAAATCAGCCGACTCCTGAAACAACAGGCAGGAATAGACACTACCTTCTCAGCGTCCTCCAGCCTCAACAACCTCCTCCATGCCAACGGAAGAAAACAACCCACCGTCAACAACAACAACCCGAAATGTGTTATTTACAAAATAGACTGTGATTGTGGACAATGCTACATAGGTGAAACATCCCGACCCATCAACACCCGAGTCAAAGAACATCGCACCTCTGTTGCTAATTCCGACACCAAATCAGCTATCTCTGACCACATCAAAGCCAACCCCAATCATCAAATAGAGTGGTCCGACATTACCATTCTCGCCAACAACCAAACGGACTTCACTAAACGCAAGCTCACAGAAGCCATTCACATCAAACGCACAAGCCTACCATCAACCGTGACCAAGGATACTTCATTCCATCTGCTTATGATCCACTCCTCCACCAAGCCCAGTCTATTGTATAAACATCGCATCCATTGTATAAACATCTCATTGTAACTACATCTCTGGCTTCCTCTCACTATCCTTTATGTACTTACTGGCTTCATCAGCTTACTGCTTAGCCAATCATGGCAATTATGTTGTTTCCCTTGTCTATTATGTTGTTTCATTGTTATATACAGTATATATATGCAGCTCCTACACTTCATGTATCACTCTTGCTTGACAACGGTACAAGAATCTGTATCGAAACGTCGCACTCACGAAAATAAAGAAGTTGTTATCCATAAAACTTGTTATATAATGTACAATCTCACTGTATATATGAGCAATATATATAATCGTGCATTTTGCTGTAAAGATAATATTCCTCCTCAAATATTATTCAATCGTCTGTGTAAAATAAAATATTAATATCAGGCATATAAAGTTTTTGGAAACCATGGTCATTGCACACAATGTAAGCTAAATTGTCAATCATAATGAAAGGTGCCTTAATTTAGAGAGATTCAGCATTGTTCATTTACCAGTATATCTGTTTCTAAAGGATGCAAAAAGTATGATTTACCTCCAAACATATCACAACATATCACATCCCCATGTGAGGCTCATGTATGCTACAAAATGTTACAATACAATATATACAAGTTTCACACCTCAACAAACAGAATATTGCAAGGTAATTGCTTTTTGAAATTCAGATCTGCTTTTAACATTCAGATCTATATATGTGCCCTTTTCAGTGAGAATCATATTTTCCAAATTACAGTATTTCCAACATGTTTTCCATTTTATTCTGTGTGTTGTGGTGCAAATATCGCAGATCTGCAGCTAGAGGTGAGGCATCTTTAGTTGACTACAGCAGATGTGCACATTGTGTTGAGTCCGCACACGCCACCGCCTCGGTACACAAGGTAGTACCCCTGGAAGAAATAAACAGTATCACAGGGTTGGTAACACTAGGGTCATTATCTAAAAAACAACATAGGATTCACTTATAATGTGTGTGTGCATGCGTGCGTGCACACAGATCCCAGGTCACAAATCAGTTGAAGTTAAGTAACGTTCACAGAGAGTTGTTTTAGGACTTTTGTCCTGCCCCTCAACAAAGCACACAATGTGGTATCACCTTTGGCAAGTGAGTTTATTCAAAACTGCCTCTGTTCACCCAGGAGAAAATGGGTACCCGGTAGGATGTCATATGACTACTAACCTTCTAGCGTCTCACAAGCAGCTTGGGTTATCCGGGTAATAATGTCCATTAAGCTGTATGCGGCTAGAGCATGCCTGTGTGGCGTGGAGTAGTGCTATATAAGTGGTCATATCATTATTGCTATAATAGAGCAATGTGTAGCACACCGTAAGTATGAAACAAAGATAAAATACCTTCTAACCCCTTGTCCGTCGCGATTTTCTTATCTTAGAAAGATTTAATTTGCAACAGGCAGTGTAGATATTTGTGATGAGATGTGTTAGTTCAGAATGGCTTGCTATACTATAGGACAAAGCCGTACCTTCTCTCCCCAGTCTGGGCCCCAGCTGTTCTTCACGATCCAGTATGGTTCACTACCCTCTGTAACATTGAAACACCTGCTCAAATCTCAAACACTGAAACACCTGCTCACATCTCAAACATCGAAACACAGTAGAACCACCTCACATCTCAAACATTGAAACACAGTACAACCTGCTCACATCTTAAACATTGAAACACAGTACAACCTGCTCACATCTTAAACGTGGAACACAGTACAACCTGCTCACATCTTAAACATTGAAACACAGTACAACCTGCTCACATCTTAAACATTGAAACACAGTACAACCTGCTCGCATCTTAAACGTGGAACACAGTACAACTAGCTCACATCTCAAAAATTGAAACACAGTACAACCTGCTCACATCTCAAACATTGAAACACAGTACAACCTGCTCACGTCTCAAACACTGAAGCACAGTACAACCTGCTCACATCTCAAACATTGAAACACAATACAACCTGCTCACATCTCAAACATTGAAACACAGTACAACCTGCTCACGTCTCAAACATTGAAACACAGTACAACCTGCTCACAGTACAACCTGCTCACATCTCAAACATTGAAGCACAGTACAACCTGCTCACGTCTCAAACATTGAAACACAGTACAACCTGCTCACATCTCAAACATTGAAACACAGTACCACCAGCTCACATCTCACACAGAACAAACCGCTCACATCTCAAACATTGAAACAAAGTACAACCTGCTCACATCTCAAACATCAGAACACAGTACAAGCTCAAATCTCAAACATTAAAAGACAGTACAACCTTCTCACATCTCAAACATTGAAACACAGTACAACCTGCTCACATCTCAAACATTGAAACACAGTACAACATGCTCACATCTCAAACATTGAAGCACAGTACAACCAGCTCACATCTCAAACATCAGAACACGGAACAAACCGCTCACATCTCAAACATTGAAACAAAGTACAACCTGCTCACATCCCAAACATCAGAACACAGTACAACAAGCTCAAATCTCAAACATTAAAAGACAGTACAACCAGCTCACGCTTCAAACATCAAAACACAGAACAACCAGCTCACATCTCAAACCTTCCATACACAAGGCTACATTCTGACAAACAAAACCTTATTGATGATGATCTTCATCTGTACTTTTGTTTCTTAACACATACATCAATGTTAACATATTACTTAACAAAGCGATGCATGTCTATCTGGCATTGTTTTAGATCCTAACACCTCAAAAGTACTACTTTCCAATATTTTATATATTTATCATATTACATCTAATTGGCAGAGATCCAAACTTGTGGAACTGGTACTATGAGGTTACGGTTCATATAGACATGTATACTGACCAACACCATATCCCACAATGAGGACACCATGGTCGAGGGACGTGGGGTTGCAGAAGATTTCCCAGGGATGAGAGATTCCTCCGAAGTAGAACTGAAACATATGTTTGTATTCACTAAAGGCACTGTGTTGTCACTATCAGATCCAGTTGTCCAATCAAATATACTACATTTACAGGAAGTGGTTTGTTACAGAATAACCTGTGACTATCTAAATTTTCTAATGACTGACTGACTGACTGAGTTTAGTTTTACGCCGCTTTTAGCAATATTCCAGCAATATCACGGCGGGGGACACCAGAAATGGGCTTAACACATTGTGCCCATGTGGGGAATCGAACCCGGGTCTTTGGTGTGACGAGCCAGCGCTTTAACCACTAGGCTACCCCACCGCCCCAAATTTTCTAATGACAATTGGTCAGCGACACTGGAAACACCAAGGTGTTTCAAATGAAAGTTAAACATGACAAATATTGTTGCATCTGAGTACAACATTATTTTCTTCCTGCTAAGTTTTAACAATCTTGTCTTTACCTGCATAGCATTTGCATTGATTCCGATGGAGATGGGTCCATTTTGAGCCAGCCATGAAGCCATGTCTGTAACAATATAACATATATATCCAGGGTAATATTCAGGATAACCCACACCACACAGGCTAGATTGGAAGATTGATTGAT